AGGAAGCTGTTTTCTTCATGTCGACCGCTCGCACCTTTCCGCCTCAAGAGGGCGGGAATCTCATCCTGTCAAAACGGCGCGTCGTGTTCGGCTTTGCGCCGGACGTTTCTTTGCTGCTGACGGACTTCGTTTGCCGTCGTGTTCTTCGCAGTAGGGTTAAATCTGTGTCCAGATGTGATCAAAAAAATAATGCAATTTTATCAGAAAAAGATGGAGGTCAAAGACACCTTTTTGTAAAGAGCAAACATCAAGGAAAAATATGGTGTCAGGGTACTGTACCCTTTTTGTAAACGTTTGCAATAATTATGTAGAGACATCGTGTCACTGAAAGGTATTTGATAAGAAAGTTGTCTTGAGGCATCATCATTTTGTATAAGCCCACTGTGGCCCATGCCATTGGGTAGATGGTTAAGCCCCTTGGGTCAGGGCTTTTTGTAAACTGCAACCCTGGTGCCCTTACAAAACTGCGGGACTCAACCCCTCCCCCCTTTATTTTAACCGGGATGGTGTTTCACTGGTACAACTTCACTAGTTTTCACTTCTGTGTGTGTGTGTTGCTTTTTCTTGGCGGAGTCTCACTTTTTTGCCTCCAATGACATCAAGATTTCATGTGCTCAGTGCTCATTATGTACCATCATCCCAACTAGGTAGGTTGGCGGCCAGGCAGCCAACTTGGTGAGGTCCTGAACTGCTCAAAATAACCCTACAGTGTGTCACTTTGCATGCCTTCTCTTTTCTCATCACAAACATCCAAACATCCCGTTACTTGACTTGAGGCATCTCACTGTTGCATTGCTCACTCTCCCAGGCAGGTCGCCCAAAAACACACCGATGCCCCAACGCCTTGCCGCCTAAGGAGCCCAGCGACAAGCTCAAAGGCTCGCCGACGGAGGTGATTTCAAGACCCGGCGTTGGGCATATAATATAGATGTTTGTTTTATTTGGTAATAGCTTAAGCCTCCTGATGTCTTTTGAAACCTACAAAACACGGAGTTGAGTTGTTGATACCCCTTAAAACCTACATTGTTGTTTTCATGCCAGGTAGTGTGTTATTTCTTCCTTTGACACCGCCGGGTTGATGGCACCAGCATGCTACATTTGCGTTCGAAGTACCATGACAGGCCCTGACCATGATGAGAAGAAAAAACCATTGTCGTATTTGTGGCCCATGGCCCATGATGGCGGCCCGTGGCCCAAACCTACTCAACCCTTCTTCACTTTAATTTTGACAATTGAAGATTGAAATGAAAAGAAAAGAAAGCAGCAGCAGTGCGCAAGAAGGCCGAGCAAGGGTACCAGCAAAAAAATGTAAAAGTTTGGTGCAACTTCGATGGGTGCCCCATAGGTAGAATATGTTTTTTGACTGTTGCAGCAATGAGACAACACACAAGCTAGGACTGATTATGTAATTAAGATGCAATACCAATAAGGTATTAGGACTGATTGAGAGCCAGGTACGACCTTTCAGTTTCCTGCATCGCTCAGGCTGGTCGGACGACGTGGTTCGCGATGGGAACTTGTTCGGACACGAAGCGGTGGAAGGCTTCTTGCAGGAGAACCAGTTGGAGATGCCACTGGGGCTGTGAAGCTGGGTCAAGCCGGAATTGCCTATACAGTAAAGTGTTGAATGCTTGTTAAGTCTTGTGGCATATTGGGCAGTACTTGCTACCTATGCAGCAGTTTGGAAAATCTGGACATTTGGACGTGCTTAAATTTAAGGGCTGAAGACCTGTGGATGTGCGACATGTGCAAAATAAGAGCTGAGAAATGCTGAGAAACTCATCTCATCTCCACTAAACCCAGAGCGGTCTGAACGGTCTGCACCGAGGGTGGTGAGGAGCGGCATAGCGGACCGGGGCTATGAGTGGTTCGCCGGGACCAAGCAGGGTTGCTCAGTTCTGGATTTGTACCTCACCATGGTGCGGTTAGACTCATAGACTTGTAGACCCTCACCATGGTGCCTAACCGCGATCTACCTTTTGGCGCAACAAACGAGTCAGACGAGTCGACTTGTCGGGTGTTTGTGCGACCGTTGACACCGGCTCCACTCTGCCCTATGTGGCCCGCGCGCGCGCGCGTGCCGCGTTTTTTGTCCGAAAAAGACATCAAGGTTGGTCTCCATCATCAGCTGCGCCGATTATGCGCCTCTTGGACTGCAAGCAGCTGAAGATTGGGCCGGATCTGTCGGCGGATCAGTGGGCGATTCCGGGGCTGCGCTGCCGGAAGCTTCCAACTGGGCGCTTGGGACAAAGCCCTCGGTCCCTCCCCACAAAGGGGTCTGATTGCGTTGAAGATGGCCTAAAACTTGTGGCTGCTTGAAGAGGCATTCCCTGCAACCAAAAAGGCAGTTTGAACTCGAAAGCAAGCTGGGAGCGAACACTTGCATTACCCACCCCTAGCTTAAGAGGCCAAACTTGACGTCAAGTACAACTTCAAATCCACCGGTATTGACCCAAAAGTGGAACAGGCTCAAAGACAGGCGAAACGGATTCCACGCCCACACCTGCCTGCGCACATGGTGAAATGCCTTGATCAAATCGAATGCTCTTGGCCAAATCAACGTGGCCCTCGGGCCACGCCCGAGCCAAGCTTGTATAGGAATCACTCCCATACCAAATCCTGGGTCCAAGTCTTTTGCCGCTCGTTCTTCGAAGCACCGTTGCCGCATCGTGGTTCGCGGTGTTCGTCGCATGGCGTTCGCGCCAGTCCTCAGGGGCGAATTCCGGAACCATGGCGCTGTGATGCTCGTAGATGCGGCTCGGTGGACGGAGGGTGTAGAACCGCATGGTGGATGAGGGAAGGATGGAGATGCGGGGAATCTGGTGGTGAAGACCTGTTTGAGGGATGATGTTGAATCCGTTGATCAGCCTGAAGCTTGCTTTGCTACCAACGAAAAGAAGCTCGCTTCAAAAGTGCTCGCTCAAGCAAAAACGCACATGGACCCCTCTCATATCCAACACATTTTGGGGTGGTTCGCCACTTGTCGTTTTGCGCTCGTGTTGCGTCCATGTTGTGGGTGTCCACCTTTGTCCCCAGACTTCAGTGTTCAACATCTTGAACACATGCATGTTTCATTAAAGCAAGTGCTCGTTTCATCAAAAAACGCCGCGAAACTCTAAAAAGTGCTCACTTCCTTGGCTCGCCAGAAAGAGTGCGACGATTGAATGTTCAGGAGTTATAAGTTCCCGGCCGCCGGCTGGCATTCGGCCCCACGTGGGCGGGCTCGGCTGAGGAGCAGTGCAAAGTGAGCGTTCGCACATGGTCGCCATGAGAGGGCAAGAAACTGGTCAGTCACTGCAATAGACGAACAGGTGGACCGATGGATGCAATCGATGTCCATTGAAACTCATGTAAATACCTAATGCAGGGTATGTATATATGATGAACAGTGACAGTCACTACTGCAAAGTGGTTCCATGTTTAAACAAACAATTTCTTGTGGATCAGCTGGAATTGCAAAGGATGCCCCCAATCACTGACTCTATAGGAAACGCATGGAAAGTTATATATAGAAATTTCATTGGAACTGTCGGTGAGTTTACCGAAGTGTTTTGAACTGGCGGCTTGGTTGGTGGATCTTGAAATTTACACCCATGCCCCACGTCCCAAAAGTTCGCAACTGCCACATTTGCCACGCCACTGACGGCTGGCGGAATTGTGAGAGCATGTCTCCATTGACGTTGGGAGCGGTAGCCCGAGTCGCGGGCTGATGTGCAGTGCACTCACACACGCTGCGCGGCCGTTGGCATGAGTTTGAATTTCGGACAACTTGCACAGGTTCGCTAACTTGAGTGGCATGTGCATGCCTGCGCCATTTCGGAGACTTGCAAATTTCTTTGCAAATGTCCATGTGAACCTGCCTGTTACGCTTGCAGTGCTTTTCACCCCTTCTTTTCCCCATCGTTTCACCGTCGTTTCATTATGCCCTTGCACGTATGGCCAGAGGGGTCCGGCCTCCGTTGGAGGGCTGCCGTTCGAATGGCGAGGAGAGCTGCAAAAGATGAGGTTCGTGTGAGGATTTTGCGGGATTGACAGACCAATTGACAGTTGGCCCATCTCCAGATTGATCTTCCGAGCTGGACAGACTAGTAGTGCAGATCGAACTGTGGAGACTGGGGAGACTGGAAGAGTTCGTGTAGAGATGCTGCTGAAGAGGTGGATGGCGTGATTTAAACCTTTGAGGGGTTGCTCCATATAGTGACTGTTCACTGATTTGATTGTTGACTCTCCAGATGTTCAATGTTGAGACGCTTCAATGGCTCAGTTGTGCGGCTTTTGGGCAAGATGTTGGGTCATTTCACATGGGTCAACCCAAGTGTGACCGCAAACCTCAGCGAAGCCCGGCCTTTCGTTACCAAACTGCCCAGGTTTGTCCCATCACTATGGACCAAGTGGCGCAATTGGCCCTTCAGTTGGAAGTGCCAAAGGCTGGAAACCATTGATTAAGTCACAACAAACACATATGACAATAGGCGAGAAGTGTGGTAGTAGGCCAAGGAGGTAAGTAGCTGTGAACATGGCAGCAGCTTCAGGGCACCCTGCACCCCATTCCCCCATCCCTGGCTGAAGGATCCAAAACAAATGGTCACCCATCACCACCAAACCCTCGCTGGCTTCACCCATCACCTGGATTCGTCGCCTCACCAGGCCTGGATCCTCGACCGAGTCTACGACTGGATCGTGAGCACCCACAAAAGCCCAGTGCGGCGCCCGAAGGGAGTCGCAGGGGATTGATGCTTGGAGTGCTGGGATGAGGTTCAGAATGCATTTGTTTCTCAAGCAACTTCAAGAAACCTCGCAGATATTCGCAGATTGAGTTCTTGGAGGTGATTGGTCTAAGACTAGGAGAGACCTTTTTTTGACATGGAACGAGTGGGCAGTTGGGCCGGGCTGCCTTCTGCCACCTTCGCTCTAAGACTTTAAGGCTGGGAAATGCCGGCCTTTCTCAACAATCACCTGCCTACATATTCCCGCGTGAACTTGCTGGCAGACGTGTTCATTTCGGCCTTCCCTGCCGAAATGAGTGACTTCCCTGCCGAAATGAGTGATGATAGCTGTTGAGTAAAGCATAGTAAAGTCAAGAACAGCCACTGCATCAGCCACCGTGCAAAAAAAACGCGCCGCTTCGCCGCTTGCCATTCTTGCAGGTGGGCCATCGAACCTTGAAGAACTTCAGGGCGTGGTTAAAGCGACAGGCGGGGGTCCAGTGTGCACGCGTGAAGCATATTGCCCCCATGCAGGGCTTTGTTGGATGAAGCATGTTCAGCTGGTTGGCTCCACAAACCACTTGAAAAGAACTGCTTATGTGACAAGTTCAGAAGACGTTGCAAAACGGCAGGCCAGTGTTCGCAGTCAAGGATGTGCAGACACTCGGACATGTGGTGGGAGAAATTGGGAAAGTCCACAGTCCACATGTTCCCAACCTTTCCAGACAGCCTGCTTTCTTGACACGGGCGCCTCTGCCAGGTTCAGCTCTGGCAGCAGCGGCAGGCATGGCTGAGCTCGGGTGTTCCGGTGTGTTCGTCAACTCAGATCCAGTGGATATCCTTACAAGTGCGGGGCCGGGCCTTGTTCGTCCATGAAGTGCCCTTTTAGAACAAATACACGAGCCAAAAGGTTCATGGACTCGGCTGAACCTGTTTGCAGGGCAATCCACATCAAGCTAATTGCTTTGTCATCATTTTTCTATTGTGTGGTTCATCCATGTTCATCCACCCACCTCCAACCATCCGCAGTTTCCAGGCGCATGTACGCAGTCCGCCAGGCACAGATGGGTATGTGCACGTGATGTTTATCTCGCATTGAAGATGCACGGCAGTTGATGGAACATTTGGCCTCAGCATGCAAGGAAGCAGCGCAAGACACGCACCTGAAACATCGTGAAACATCGTGAAATTCGTTGTCGGCTGGGTGCAGATGCCGTCATAGATTCTTAGAACAACTTTTGCCGTCCGTCGTTGTTGCCACAGCCACCCTGATCTCCGTGAGGAGACGATTTTGGACATCACATGACTTCATGTCGCTTCCATCCACTGTGTTTTTTTAAACAACTCCGTGGCTAATCACTGCAACAGCTGGCAACCAGTTCTGCAGCCTACCTTCCCCAGGTGGAGAAGCCCAGCAGGCGGTGTGCGTGTGAGTCGGTTGGCAACGCTACTGGATGCTACTAGTGCATAAGATGTCTAACTGCATTACCCGCATCATGTTCATCAATGTTGCCACAAAATTGTTAGGATGCATGAAGCGACCTACGTCCCCATGGCAGGCCGAGGCGCCATCTGCCAACGTATCAGCTGAGGCCAGTCCGATCATGTTCATAGGCACATGTTGCTCAGCACTAGGTCGCACTGATATGCACAACACTCAGCCCAAGATGGAACCAGCCTGCGCCAGGTTGAGATTGCAGAGCCAGTGGAAACTACTGAGGCAAGTCAGAATGGCCTCACAGCATCTTCTATCACCTGCCATCTCCTTCCATCATCAATTGACACGAGGGGGTGTGGATGAACTGGGGTGAAATGACTGGAGCACCCAACTCACCACCTGCAAGTATCCTTGCTTCCTAGAAGGTCAACAGGCATGTGCAAACATGAACACGATCCAGTCAGTGAATCAATCAGCTTTTGTTCAACCTTCCTTTGACAACCATCCTTTCGTCACTTGCCCTGCGAAGCGGCGAAGACGCAGCCTGTGGCTGAGGCCAGAGCTGAGCCTGAAACAGAGGTCCGAGTGACTTTGGGAAGCTCGGGTCCTGCTACCAGTTAGGGTTGCAGATGCTTGTCCAGCAAGAGCGGCTAAAGAGTACATCTCAGCGGAACTAACCTTGACTAAGTTCGGCATCATCAACAACAACCAGCCAAAAAA